CTAACTAATTCTTACTTTCATAATGGTTTACTGTGCTGACTATTTTCTACATTAATAGATGAAGGTCTGGTTTGTTCAAACTCTCAAAATAGTAGGACCAGAGCCCTAGAGACTCTAGGGCTCTGAGTAGGACATGCTGTCATAATTACCCAGAGTCCGAAGTGACACCTTTACAATGTTAAAGCTGTTAGTTAAATGTAGTGACGTAAAAACTAAAGTATTCAAGATAGTGTAGTGGAAAAGAGATAATGTTTTTTTTAAATGTTACTAAAACAAAATCTCTTGTTTTGGACTGACAGCAATGATTCAAGAAATAGTAGATAAATAAATACACACACATCAATGTGTTGTGGATGGAACACAACAAATGGTGCTCTTACCTGTGATGCCTCCTCCAAACATTATAACCAGACTGTATCATTCAAACTATAAGTAACAGTTCTAGCTACTTGACTTCAGACAAACAATTCAAAAGACAAAATCAACACAATTTATTGAAAGACCAATCTTTATTTCTCTCCTTTTGTTTGTGTTATTAAACCCTGTCAATCTAAAAAACTGAGCAACTCAACAGTTAACTTTATATTTCTTATTGTCCAAAGCATCTATTACACTATTTGTTCCCCTCTCATATTCACAGGATGGATGATTAGAGACTTTGGGGGAGACCTCAGCTTTATGAACGTCCTGTCTGTTGCTTTGGCCGGAGAGGGCTGAGGGTCTTTCCCTGCGAGGAGTCCTCCTCGCAGGGAAAGACCCTGCAGGCCTGAGGGGAGGACCAGACCTGATGAGGGGACCTGCACCAGCTGCACCTACAGAACTTAGCCCATGCTGGGCATAGCTGTTACCACCTGCACAGGCCTAGTCTGTCAATTAACAGATTAACATTTAGTGTAACTTATGTATATTATTTCGTTTTTATTTAAAAAAAAAATGGTGATGGTTCATGCTTGATAACTTTTAGTTCACATTTCAATAAATTGTATTTGCACTCCTTTTGTCCGTTATTCTTACTGAAAATGTTAGATTACACATTCACATCTGAATGAAGATTGGTACCATTTATTTATGACGTTCCAAACTCGGCGGCACAAGGGATGTGAAGCTCATAAAGTGAGGCAAATGCATTTGATCAGCTGACTTTTTTTTTGCCAAACTTTATAGGCCTGACAATCACACTGTCTCTGAGGTGCAACGTAAAACACAAAACAACACAAATGAAGTTCCTGTTAGACTACAAAACTAGTCAGTGTGCAGGTCTTTGTGTTACAATATAAGTGTCTCTTAGTGAATGTCCTGTACTGCTCTTAAATCTCATCACATCAGCTTCTCCTTTCCCTCTTGGATGTTCTTCTGGACCCTCAGAGAAAGAGAAAATGGTGAAGCAGTCCTGTCTCTCAGGCGTGTCCTTTCCTAACAGAAATATCAAAAAACATATTATTGCAGAGCAAGTGTGTTATTTAAGAAAGAGGTGTGTTTGTTTGTTCATAAATATAATGATTTTTTTATTTGAATGTGTTTTTTAAATCCAACAGTGTACTACAAAGATAATCAGATTATGAATAAACCGTTCTAAATTCATCAACATTGAAATAAATGTATTATTATAATAATATTTAACTGTTATCAAAACTTAGTGCAACTGTGGAAGCTTGCTCTGTTCGGTTGTCTCACTGAAAGACAAAGGGTCGCAGCTCTCACTATGTGATGTTGCTTGGTAAAATGTAAATGTAACCTTTTGCTAATAAAGTCCACTCAACATCACTGATGTGTAGGTGATCTAGTATTCAGCCATGTTTAATGGCATGTCTATCAGTGTATTGGAGTCATTACTTTATGCATTCTTTGTAAAGTATGAAAAAGGTGTACCTTGGAATCCGTGCTGAAGTTCTCTGCTGCTAGGACTCCAGATCTGTCTCTCCTCCTCTGGTCCAGCCTGTCTGGATCACCTTGAGGACACTTTGAACAAACAGATGTAAAGTTACATGCGTGGGTTACAGACTTCTTTCCATGCAAACAACTTTGTATCTTCTTTTAAAAACAGGTCATAATCTTATTGTTATACTTCAGAAATGGCTGGATATCACAGTCCTTATACTGTATCAGTTTGAGTATTATTGTGTAGGTCCTTTTTATTTTACTGTTACTTTGGATGAGGTTTTCATGAGTCAGTCAAATTAATTTGTTTTCATATGCCATATTCATATGTATCACACACGTAAGGGTAAGACACAAACCTATTGAACAAATGCAATGCAATGGATAAGCTTAATTTCCACTGAAGTCACAGATAACGTCATATATCATATTTAAACAAATCATTTCCTTGTCACTAAAGCATTGACTACGCTATTCATCGTCCTTAAATGCAGGAATTAAGTTACATGTTCTGTTCTACAGCCACGATGAGGCTGTTTCTCAAGTGTGATGATAATACAATTAAAAGAGGCATTGGTAATAATATTAAAAACAACAATGTTTGGGTCGTTCGTCGGATAGGCAGTTAGCTGCAATAAATAACTCCAGTTCAACAAACCATATTACAATATCTAAGGGAGCGTTATTATCTTGAAATGTGACGTTCATATTTTAAAGATACACACATTTCATTGTGAGGTTGATTTAATATACACTAAGCCTCTCTTCAACAATACGTTGACGTTAGCTAGTCTATTTTATGCTATAGTAGAGCATAGCGAATTTAAATGAACCTTAACAATGCATACAGTAACCTAAATAGCAAACTAACTATCTAACGTACAAGGATGACCTTATTTTAGCAACCTCGCACAGAAGCCTTTTGGTATACAGTAGCATCCCACTTAATGTTTTACACTCTTGGATGCTACGCATAGCATCGTTAGCACAGATGGAACTACGATTGCTCAAATGCTAACCCAACTCTAAACATTCATTAACGTTAGCTTAATAAAAACACCAGTAACATAACATAAAGTACGCAGGGTTGACTTACCGAAGAAACTGCATTCATGGACGGTCTGTTTCAACGGCAGATAAATCCTATATTTGCAGGACGAATAGTCCACCAGGAGCCAACACAACAAACACGGCCGAGTTCAAGTAGTGTTCTCCTCATGAGCTGAGCCGCTGTAGCATCACGGAGCTAACGGAGCTAGCAGAGAGGAGCTAGGAGCAGCAGTCCCGTTGTCATGAAGGGGGAATCTAACTATATACAGAATATGTTTTTGTGGATCCAGGCTAGAAACATGTTCATTTTCTGATGTTAAGTTGGACATTTTAACAAAGGGTCTACGGGAATTGCTCCCATCTGCATCCATCGCCTACAGTTTGCAGCATTGGGCTTCACCGCACTGTCCCGGGGTTTGCCGCTTGGCTCTGATAGGCCAGAAGTCGGTTTGATTGCATTAGGGCTCGATTGCTTATCCTGTCTGAGTAGCCCGGATGAGGCTGCATCGCAATTTTTGACGTCGAATTTTACACACCGAATTTTTTTACATCGAATTTTAAACACCGAAATATTTGACGTCGAATTTTTTTCACTTGAATTTTTGGGATCTGAATTTGAACATTCGAATTTTTTTAAGTTGAATTTTTACAATTGTATTTCACATAGATAAATTCGGAGCAAAAAAAATTCAGATTCATGATTTTCAAAGTAATTATTTTCAATGCTATAAATTCGGTGTCTAATACAATTCAAATACTTCTGTCTCTTGTTTGCTTCCATATGAGAACAAAGAACATGTTTTTACGTTAAAATAAAGATGTTGGGGATAGTGGTGGTCTAGTGAGGTGGGGTGAAGATCGGAAGGTTGCGAGTTCAAATCCCGCCAGGAACACCACCACTAGTGTGCCCTTGAGTAAGGCACTTAGCCCTTAGTTACTCCAGGGAGAATGTCCCTGTAATTGTAAGTCGCTTTGGATAAAAAAGCATCAGCTAAATGAAACGTAATGTAATGTTGCAATCATAACTCTGTTTTTTTCCAATGTAAACTTAAAATAAAGGTTATTCACTTCCAAATCCTCAGCTTGATCAAATCACTTTTGGTTTCCGTCATGTTTACTTTGCAGAATAAGTGTAAAGGCTTCTTCTCTTCTGTATCCGAGCCATGATTCATTTAAACATTAAATAAACACTGACACAAAATCTGCTTTTTGTCTTTGCACGAAGGGGCTGTTTTTCTTTAAACTGTGTACCACAGGATACTTCATTCCTTCCATCAGCAAAAGCATCTTATTTCACTCCACACAACGCATAGGATAAATGATTCAATCAAAACTCTTTATTTTATGCCTAAAGAATTTAACCAAACGGATGTAGTTTCTATGGAAACAGAAGTTAGCACATAAATGACAGATTTCAATGTTGTTTATTTTGAACAAAACCAAATAAACTTTTTTTAATTTATTTAACATTTTATTTAACATTTCTGAATTAATTAATAATAAAATAAATATATTCGAATCATCCAGAAAGCTTGATGAAAGTGAATGTACTGTAGGTGTTTTTAAGGAATTCAAAAAAAGTTTTTTTAAATGATTGTGTCAATCTGTTATTATGCTATTTTGTGCGAGATCAGTCGATTTAACCATGAGAAAAAGGATTACAGGGGTTATGAGTTCAATAATTAGTATTGCCCTCGAAGGATGTTGCAAAAATTGAAATGGCCCTTGATAGGAAAGACTCCAGCCCAAGTTGTGTATGAGCAACTTTGCATTTTCAACACATGTAATCTTGTGGGAGACGACAGTTTTGGGTCAAAGCAAGAGCAGTAATGTACAGTATGCGTACAGTATGTAACAAAACTCAAATTAATTCATGAAAATACAAATAAGATACAGGTTCACATGTACTTGTTAAGTGAATGTTTGATCATGTAGGAATATAACGTGTGTGTGTGTGTGTGTGTTTCACAATTCAAACTATTTAAATGAATTGTGGTGTTGAGTATTGGAGCAGATAACCTTATAATACCAAATATAAGGTTATACCAAATAACTACAAGCAGTCTTTAGGCTTTTTTGTGCAATGTACTCTCTGTTTATCCACACTTGTGTCCTCTTTTGCAACAACGTTCTCAATACATACATTTTAGAGAAGTCCAGTCCACTCTGTATCATCATGATTGCTTTGCAACAAGAACATTTACAAAAACAGAAAGACTGAACATGTTATTATCAGCGGGAACAGTAAAGTACAAAGATTTCACTTTTCTATTGAGTCCATTAGGAAGGGTCTATGGGCTGCTGTATTTCCTTCAATGCGCTTGTCAAACCGATACTTGAACTTCCAATTTTCAGTGAATCTGACTAATGAAAATGTGTTTTGTGAGAGAAACATTTAGTATATAAACATCAAATATTTGAGGATTTAAAAAGCAGTAGATTTTACGAATTGTGATCAATCTTCTTGGAGTTGTTGAAAAATGTACAGTCAAAAGTTTCTAACATTACTTATGGTGGTGTTAAGTATTTCAAACCAGGAAGTAAACACAGGTTCCTGCAAGGCAACTTCACCTATCCTTCTAAGTATTTTGTTGTTATTCTTATCTGCTTTTGACTATTTCCAAATGTGCAAATTACCTCCGAAAACCAGTGGAAGAAAGACAATTTAACTCTAAGGGGCAAACATTGTATTAAACTTTATAGATTATATGATTCTGCAAATTAAGTACCACAACTGTTTTCCCTTTAATTACATTTTCAGTGCTTGACAGAGGTTTGTAATACAAATTAAAGTTCAAATACAACTTAACTTAGGACATCTGGCATTATGGGGTGAAATAATGATATCGATTTAAAGGCATTTTAGATATGATAGCTGTATCACTAAAACACTTAAAATAAAACATATTGAAAGAGTGCCAGTTTATGGATACAGGAAACATGTTACACATTTATGATTGGAAATCAAAATTATAGCAATACTTCAAAATCATGTGATCGAATTTCAAATCTTCAGGATGAAAGCAGAGAGAAAAAGAGCAGTTAATGGAAAGTTATTTTCCCCAAACTCAGCCCTGCAGTTCTACATAACCCTGTCCTCAATATGTACGCTGCTCTTAAACATACTGCAGGAAATGTGAACAGCAGCGAAGGTTTAAAACAATGTATGTCAGCAAGTCAACACCAGCTGGAGTCTGCGCTCTCTTAAAGGGAAAATCCTGTTTAAATACAACTCACATGTGCTCCCTCAGAGTAATGATGTGAACATTGACAAGTCACTATCGACACGTGGAAACAGCCCTTTGTGCTTCAAATTATTAAACAAATCCAATTATCAATTTCATTTTTGCTAGTACAATATTATTTCTTATGATGTAAAAAGATGGTATTTTCACCTTTGCTTTATGTAACACTAGAAATGTGTCCGGGTGGTTTCTGCTCAGCGGGTTGAATAAAGTGTGTGAATTGTTTAAACAAGGATTTTCCTTTGAAGTAGCAGGGACAGTGTAAATAAGCACTTTACAACAGCAGCCAGGCACACAAGTTACTGATTACTGCAACTCTACAACAAGTGATCATCGACACTGATAGGTTGAAACAGTCAAGCTTCAAAACCTTTCCTTCGATTAGCAGAACCACATTAACAGTTTAAGCTTTTAGTGAAATATGTGATGAGTCCGCCCCCTTACATTATCCTGTTAGGCCACGCTGTTGGTTAGTAGCTGTAAGATTTACCTTAAGCCGACTGAGTGGGAATTGGAGATGAAATTAGCTTGTTGAAGTGGTTGTTGCCCACCCACAATCAATCATCCTGGTATGAAATTTCACCAGCAAGCTTAAATATCTGAAAATGGGATCTATGCGGGAGGTCTCATTTCCTGCCAAAGTGGCTGTTAGATGCCAATCCAAAGCCAAATAGGGCCGAAAACACTCCAAATTGTGGCACAATGTAATGTTGTTTAATCCTAGTCACATGTATACAAGGCATTACAACGCACATGGATTTCAAGATATGAATCTGATTTGACAATATTGTGAAATCAATAGAAAGTGTGTTCGGATTACAATTCACTCATGATGTTCTTTTAGTTTCCTGTAATGATGTCATATTAGTTACGTTTTTTAAAGCCGTTCCCAGGGCTTCTTACAGCACAGAATAACAAAGAGGGACCACCGAGCCAAAACCAAACAATCCTGCAGCTGCACAACAGGACTTTATCAGCTACACTAGCTTCACGTCTCATAAAAACACAGACTTTGTATGGGACTTCAGAGGCACAGCTTATTTAATAAGGCAATATGTACACATGATCTGTATCTTCTCCTATGTTGTCATCTTATAAATAATGTCTAAAATAATACTGTACATTTTAATTAAATGGTAGTAATCAAGAAGAAATATAAAAGCACCTGTGAATGGGACTGACATACTATAATACTACGTTTCTATCAGGGTGTAGGTCCATGTGTTTAAGGGTGATGGCATATCAGATTATAACATCACGTCTTTAAGATTTTTATACCAAATCTGAGACAAAGCAACATTTAACCTGACTACCTTGTTCTAGCACTACTTGTTAAATAAAACACACTAAAGGTGGTTGGTGGTGGAGTGTTAAGGATCACAAGATGTGCGAAACACTAAGAGATCTAAAAGTTGACAAATACTTGTGGAGACACTGTGTCATACAGTTAAATATAAAGAATAATCAATGGGTGATGTGATTACACCTATATGACAAGTGCTATGTTCCTGAAGCCAGTTAAAAACTATTGAAGTTAGCCCTGTGGATTGGATTCAGTCTGCAGTTTTTCGTATAAAAGTAAATTAAATAACCAGCTGCTTTAAGTGCTGGCATACCAATCAATGTATTGTTGGATAATAATACTCCTCTTTATGCCGTTATGAAGCTGAGCAATGTTTCTTTGCTGAAAAACTGGCAAAACATAACATTTACATTCTCCTCTTAAAAAAAGGAAACAAAAACAAACATGTAAATAACATATTTTTTTCTTCCAAAAATGAATTAGCCATTAGACATACAATACAATTACATAGATACATATTTGCAATACCGCACATTCAATCTGCCAAAAAGGTAATGATTACAAAGCCAACAAAGATGCTGCGATATATATATATATATAGAGAGATGTATGTACAATGATTATAGCGTTCATAATTGCACTATGCCTCAATAAATGTAAATTACAGGCTTACTTTCTAGGGAATTGTTACAAAAAATACTTTAAGTAGCTTGGGAATGAAATAATTGCAAATCAGAAAGAAGAAGGGCTTACTTTGGTACAATCTGATCATCAGCACTGTGCCCTTTTACATAGAAATTAGCTAAATGTATTCTTCACTGCTATTGACTAACAACAGTCAGGACAGCCGGGTTGTGAGAAGTGTAATAAAGACAAAGCTAAAGCGTGACAGGATGGTGTATATGCTAGGAGAAGGGGTTTGCAGTGGGTTGTGATTGGACAGCTCGAGCAGGGGTGAGGGGGGGCTGTCCCATTGACTGTGTTGAATATTAATTGGAGGAATCAGTCGATCGATCAATAAGGGACAAGTCAGCGTTCATTAACACTTCCTGTTCCCGTCCTCAACACTTATCATTTCATCTAAGTAGTAAACCTCACAAAGTGGAGTCTAGTTCTTGAATAGTTTTGGCATTGGCAATAAATACACAGATAACCGTAATAAAAAGCGTTAATGTGGCACAGTTTAACATAATCATTTAACAACGTAGTCACATAAATAATCACGTCCATCTGTGTAGAACAGGTGTGCCTCCTGATCTCCTTGCTCAAAGCTCAGAAGTTTTTTTTAAAGCCTGTGACTTGGGCTATTTCCCCTTTTAATGTACTCATTGGATGGTACCAAAGTCAATGCAATGTATTAGAAACAATAACGATATGAGTCTATCAATACCAAATCAATATAGCATTTTTTTTAAATCACAGTTTATGCCAATTTATTGAGAGACTTGCCAATCAGTCCTATGCAGGAAAATAAAAGCTGTCAATTATAGATCTAAGGTAAACGGCCGGAACGAAGCTTCTGAATGAACCAAGGGGAAAGGAGGGAGGGTTCAAAAAAAAAAAGAATGAAAAACCTTTTTTCTTCTTCTTGGCTATAAAAAGGCAGGAGGCAGGGAGCGCATTGCATTTGCTCCAGCTCTGATGTATCAAACTGACAGAAAAATGTTTTGCCAGACCTTGAATGCACAAAGTAGTTTCTTTCTTTAGGCCAAAAATCGAAACAAAAATTCACAATGCGCAAAGCCTAGAAATGAGGATCCTTGCTGTTAACATTCAACAGCATATCCCCGCAAACCATTATACTTTAAATGCATTGCCCTCCTCCTGCTCCATATATTTAATCAACTCCTTAAATAGCAAAATAACATTTACTTTGCTAACCCTTGGGGACCAAGAGATCAACAAATGGCAAATAAATTATTATTATTATTATGCAACCATTAGATTTCTCAGATTTTCTTTTGTGTGTGTATATGATCTATGTTTTCACAGATTGCCTCAGTCAGTGTGTGGGGGGGTCTCCCGCTGACAGCCCCACCCCCCTCTACACCAGGTTGTACTCCTTCAGGTTGAGCTGCAGGATGGTGTCTTTGACGGCGGCAAAGACGAAGCGGATGTTCTCTGTGTCCGTGGCACAGGTGAAGTGTGAGTAGATGATTTTATCGCCGTCTGGATTCAGGTCCACAAACATCTTGAGGATAAACTCCCGTCCTGCTTGGGCATCCCTCGCGGGACCTGCAGAGGTGAAGACATGCTCCATGAATGCATTTCACTACAGAAAGTAAGGTACAAATAGTTCTGATAGGATATATCTTAGGATGCTAAGACATGTGTATATTCTCCATTCCTGTTCATGTGTCCTCTCTTAATTTTTACTGGCCCGTGCATCTCCTAATCGTTGTAAACAGCCTGCTCTCGTCTATCCCACATGCTCCACTGACATCCAACATCTAGTTACAGGTGGCCTGTGGAACTGCCAGTCAGCTGTTCCTAAGGTTGACTTAATTTCTGGCTACGCTTCCCTGCAGTCTCTGGATTTCCTTGCTCTCACTGAGACCTGGATTACTCCATCCAACATATCCACCCCAGCAGCTCTCTCCACAGCATATTCCTTCTCCCATACACCCAGACCCACTGGCAGAGGAGGTGGCACTGGTCTCCTGCTCTCTCCCAAATGGAGCTTTTCCCTCTACCAAACTCTCCTTCCTCCTTTGAATTCCATGCCGTTACTGTAACCCATCCTATACAATTAACCATTGTTGTTCTCTACCGTCCACCAGGCGCCTTGGTGGACTTCTTGGAGGAATTAGATAATCTCCTCTCACTCATCCCTGAAACTGGCCCTCCCGCTGTACTTCTCAGAGACTTCAACCTCCAGACAGGGAAGATAGACGAACTAACATCTCTGTTAACCGCCTTTGCTTTCTCACTGTCTCCATCCCCACCAACTCATAAAGCTGGCAATGTCCTTGATCTCATATTCTCAAGGAACTGCACTACTTCTAACCTCTCTGTAAACCCACTTCACACCTCGGATCGCTTTTTCATAACATTCTCTCTACCCCTTTCCAAACATAACAAACTAATCTCTTCTAGTTCTGCACCTGTCCGCCGTAACCTTTGTTCCCTCTCCCCCTCTACTCTTACCTTAGGTGCTCTCAGCCCTCCCTTCATCTGACTCTTTCCAACTTCTGCCTCCAAACTCTGCTGCAGAAACTCTCCTCTTGACTCTCTCATCCTCTCTCTGGACTCTCTCTGTCCTCTCACATCTCGGCAGGCTCGTCAGTCCCCTCCTGCTCCCTGGCTAAATGACGCACTGCGTGCTAATAGAACCATCCTTCGGGCAGCTGAGCGGAAATGGTGGAAATCCAAACACCCTGACGACCTCCTAACCTACCAGGCTCTCCTCTCCTCTTTCTCTTCTTCAATCTCTCAGGCAAAAAGCACTTTCTCTATCTTCTCCACCCTCCTTGACCCCCCCAGAGCCCCTTCCCCCTCCTCCCTTCTTCCAAGCGACTTTGTTAACTACTTTGAAAAAAAGGTTGATGATATTCGCTCTTCATTTTCCGACTCACCTTTACTCACCGCTGGGTCACCAGACCCACCTTTCACCCACACACTGACCTCCTTTCCGCCTCTCTCTGCAAGTGAGGTTCTTACCCTCATTACCTCTGCCCGCCCTACCACCTGTCCTCTGGACCCTATCCCCTCAAACCTCCTTCAGACTATCGCTCCTGATATTCTACCGTTTCTCACCCATCTCATCAATACTTCTCTAACTTCTGGTCACTTTCCAAACAGTCTCAAGGAGGTAAGAGTAAACCCTCTCCTAAAGAGACCCCCTCTCAACCCGTCCGATGTTAAAAACGACAGGCCTGTCTCTCTCCTCCCATTCCTGTCTAAAACACTTGAACTGCTCTCCTTGCTGTCTCTGAGGAACTGCACACTGCTAAAGCAGCCTCCCTCTCCTCTGTCATCATCCTTCTGGACCTGTCTGCTGCATTCGACACGGTGAACCATCAGATCCTCCTTCACACTCTCCAAGAACTTGGAGTTTCAGGCTCTGCACTTTCCCTCCTCACCTCCTACCTCAAAGACCACACCTACAGGATAACTTGGAGAGGGTCCGAGTCCGACCCGTGTCAATTATCTACAGGGATCCCTCAGGGCTCTTTCCTCGGTCCCCCTCCTCTTCTCTCTGTACACAAACTCGCTCGGATCTGTCATTAGCCCGCATGGTTTTTCATACCATTGCTACACTGACAACACTCAATTAATTTAGTCTTTTTCCCGCTCAGAGACCCAGGTTGTCGCACGCATCTTTGCTTGTCTAGCAGACATCTCTCAGTGGATGTCTGCTCACCACCTCAAGCTCAACCTTGACAAGACTGAACTACTTTTTCTTCCGGGAAAATAGTGTCCCACTCTTGACCTAACTCTGTTGTTTCCCCGACTCAGACTGCAAGGAATCTGGGTGTGACCCTAGATAACAAACTGTCCTTCACTGCAAATATCGCTGCAACAACCCGCTGCTGCAGATTAGGGTTGCATATTGTTGACTTTTTTACGATACCGATACTCAACCGATACATATCGTGATACTTTCATGTTGCATAGGGGAACAATGTAATCATCCTGCAATTACTCCCATGAAGCGCTTTATGACAATAGCCGCGTTCACACCGAAGTACTTTTCCCACTTTAGTTCCGATATAGTTCCGAAATGTCGCGTTCACACCAAAAAGAGCCGGAACTAAAATGATCAGAACCTTTTTTACCCCCTTTTCCGTCCCTGCTAGAGAGCAGGTACCTTCGTGGGAGAAAAAGGTTCCTATGTCTGATTGGCTGGGCGGAATGCAAACCACGCCCCGTAAAACTCCAAAAAAGTTTTGTGAAGCAGCCATTTTATTATCCTCGCATTAGCATTATTAGCATTAGCATTAGCCCAGCGCACAAACGCAGAGAGACTAAGTTATGGCAACACAAAAGAAAACATGGGAGCGGTGGAGATGAGGAGGTGTTGGCGTTCTGGCGATTTACTCGGAAGGCTTCAGTGGAAGCTGCTGGGAGTCCCAGCAGCTTCTACTGAAGCCAGTCCCCAACTCCGGGGACTTCGGGTGGCAGTATATTCCGTGAAGTTGTTTTGCAGGCCGCAAACAACTGCAGGCCGCCAGTAAACCCAAAGCAGAAGAAGAAGAAGTGACGTCAGCGGCTTCATTTACCTAATCCTTCCCCAAAAACTTATTCCGGTGTGAACGCGATCTGTACTTAGTTCATGAGAAATAAAGAGTTCTGATTAACTAAGTTCTCATGAACCTTTGTGAGAAAAGTACTGCGGTGTGAATGCGCCTATAGTTAACATGTCAAATGAATATTAAATTAAATTGTGGGACTTGGACCTTTTAGTACTGAATAAACAATGAAAAACACGTTATCTATGAAGAAAACAGATTCTGCAATATCATTTATATCAACCATCAGGCATGAATAGTACATCTTGTCAATGGAAAAAGAAAATAGCACCAGTATAATCAATATTCAACCTGAGATTCGACTGACTAGAGAACACATAAAGGATCATGAGATCTCGGCATTGCACATAAAACAAATAGCATCATTAAAATCAACATTTGCCTGATGAAAGAAAACAAATCCCACCACAGTTCAGTTTTGTGCATTCATCTTCAAGAAGATGAGCATATCTGCTCTCTGGATGCAAACGGGCCCTTTCACAGCGTAGGATATCACCTGCTGAACTGAACACTCTCTCGTTTGGCACGCTGCTTCCCTGAACACAAAGGTACTTGGTTGCCATACGAGACAGCATTGGTTGGAGCTTGGATGTGTTGCCACCTCTCCCAGAAATAAACTTCTTGCAGTGGTTACAGACCCCACCATTCAGACTGGCAGTCATATGCAGCCACACTTTAGATTTTCTGTGATTCGTTTGCGGAGTTTCACTGCGAAATTGACATCGTAATTCCGACGGTTTGGGCACGAGTTTAAGGATATTACGCCTCACTTTTAGTTATTTCAGTAATACCGGGAAACGGTATGCACCCCTACTGCAGATACACTCTTTACAACATCAGGAGGATACGTCCCCTCCTGACCCAGAAAACGACGCAGCTTCTGGTACAGGTTCTCGTCATCTCACGCCTAGACTACTGAAACTCCCTCCTGGCTGGTCTACCTGCATGTGCCATCCGACCTCTGCAGCTCATCCAGAATGCAGCGGCTCGTCTGGTCTTCAACCTTCCTAAATTCTCCCACACCACGCCGCTCCTCCGCTCCCTTGACTGGCTTCCAGTAACTGATAGAATCCACTTCAAGACACTGGTACTTGCGTACCATGCTGTGAATGGTTCTGGCCTTTCATACATCCAGGACATGGTTAAACCGTACACCCCAGCACGTGCACTCCGCTCTGCATCGGCCAAACGGCTTGCTGCACCCTCACTGCGAGGGGGACCCAAGTTCCCATCAGCAAAAACACGTTGGTTTGCTATCCTGGCTCCAAAATGGTGGAATGAGCTCCCCATTGACATCAGGACAGTAGAAAGCTTACGCATCTTCCGGCACAGACTGAAAACTCATCTCTTTCGACTCCACTTCGAGCAGTAAAATGAAAAAACAAAACTAAAAACTAAATAAAAAGCACTTATATACTAACAAAGGACTGGCTTATCTAAAGCCAGTTGAGTAGCAGTTAAAATGGTTTGGCTCTAAGAAACCTAATGTACTTATATGATTCTGTTTTCTTCAAGTCTTCTTGGTCGAATGCACTTATTGTAAGTTGCTTTGGATAAAAGCGTCAGCTAAATGAAATGTAATGTAATATGATTATTTTGCAGGCTGGTGCATTTCAATCTAAAGTGAAGCAAGCGTTGGAACTACATAGTAACACATTGTTTGAAAATTAACTTTTAGCCAGTAGTTTAATTTTTTTCATTGCAATCCAAACATCTCATTTCTACTCTGGAGATGTAGATATTTACATTCGTATTTACATGTATTTAAAAAAAACTGCTTTTTTGTTAACAAAAAATTAACCCTGGTGCGTCCATGTTGATGGGGATTAGAAGTTGATTGTTCCTTTGAGAGAAAAATAACGTTTAACTTAATTTGATCCTTTTTAAATAGGGTGATACAAAATGAAATGTAATGTCTATCTGTAAGGAAGGAATTATTAAACTTAGGCACCTTGTTAATTAACAAATATATCATTAATATATCAAACACTGCATAATATATCAGGAAGAATTCTGTCAGGATACATTTCAAGCAATTCTTGACAGATACTGATAAGCTGACCGATACATCATGCAGCCTCAAAATCTAACACTCTTAATAGTGGTCTTTAGGTGTTATTTCTGCCAGCATAATGCAGTATTACTGACTAGGCGATACTAATGTATACAAACAAAATCATTGTAAGACAAGACTTGAAAAAACACCATCAGCATGGTCAAATATGATTCTTAAAATTTGTATTTTACACACGCTGAATCGACACAATTGGACAACTTAATAACTAGTATATTTGCACATGCATTATTGCTTTTATTCTCCCTATGGAGTAACACATGTCAGTAAATGTGAATATTGGTGTTTTAATAGCAGTGCATTTCTGAAATCAACTTTTATTTATCTATTTAGTTATTATGAATCATATGAATTTTTAATTAGCAAGATCTTTCTAGTTCAAGTGCGCAAACTAGCAGCTAAGAGGAGCTTCCTGCTTGTTTTAGAGGTTTGATAGGTTTGGGCTGGACTGAGTGGACACCATGCTGCTGTCACTCACCGTCATACTCTGGGAAGTAGTCGACCAGATGGGAGTACATGATCTTCTCCTCCAAAAGGTCCTTCTTGTTGAGGAAGAGAATGACTGAGGAGTTTTGGAACCAGGGGTACGTGACTATTGTCCTGAACAGAGCTTTACTCTCCTCCATCCGGTTCTACAGAGAGAGTGGATGTGTGTGTAAGGAGAGAGAAAGAGGGGAGGAGAAAATACAAAGAGATAGAGAGAGAGAGCGAGAGATAATTATTTAATTAAAACAACAGTCTTTCATACTCATTAAGGACAGATTTTAATAATCGTTCACCGCACCAGAGGGAGAGCAGGAACGCTGAGGCGCCTTTAAGAGTTTCATTTCGCTCTTGCACTTTAATTCTGTGTCTAATTGAACTAAACAACCGTTCTGAAAGCAAGCCTTGGATATCAAATTGCCGGTACATTCGAGTATTAAGAATATCTCCAGTATATTATAAAAACTAATGTTAAGACACGCAGGAGGACATGCAGCTGATGTCTTCTTCTTCTGCACTTTACAGGGCTTCCAGTAACAAAGGGAGGAAAACACATGGGTGCAAAAACAGAGACACTCACATAATGAACGCACAGCTGCTCATTAATACACTTTAACAAACTGACACACACGCTATATCCTCTTAAGAAGGTGATTTGGCCCAAGGCGGTATTCAAAACAGCTGGCTGATCATTTACAAATGCTTTCCAAGGGAAAAAAGGTGGAGGGCGGCCAGGCCGGAGGAGAATCTGATTTCCATTGTTTTAAATAAGGAGTAGCTTTTCATCATCAGAGGAACTCAACTTCCACATCACATGCAATACTAAAGTGATTTAATAGATGTTTTTGAAAATGTGAAATTAAGATCCCCAAAACATTTTAGCTCAGAGTTTTACATTTAAAATTGTGAAATGTGTGTGTGTGTGTGTTTTCATTATTCACCTCATTGTCTGATTCCACCAACACCTGGTCGTACTCGCTGAGTGCCACCAGGAACATGATGGAGGTGACGTTCTCAAAGCAGTGGATCCACTTCCTCCTCTCCGACCTCTGACCTCCCACATCCACCATCCTGCCATGGCAGCAACGCCCAGGACAGAGAAAACACTATGAGCAAAATGCTTGCTAATCTGTTTGATTCTCTTCCCAACACAATTTAAGGAAAGATATTTGCCTAACAAACAAAACAAAAGTGATTAAAATGTGATGACTATTGATCCTAGGGTGTGAGTCAAAGCAGAATATCAGCATTGTGAGTACGAGTACTACTTTTGATATTACATAAGTGGGGAATTTGCTGTAATATATACTGAAGAATCAAAAGCTCAGCCCGGTGCTATTACAAAGCTTTAAGTTGGTTGTATTGGTGTAATTGATATTTTACCAGCTTATAAGATTAAGATAAAAATGTACTTTATTGATCGCAATTTGGGAAATGTTTGCGTTGCAGCAGCATAAAAGACAAGGCATTGCACATAAGAGAAATTAAAAGGGTAGAAGTAAACAATTATAAAATGTAAACATCTCAAAATAGAGATAAAACAGCGTTATACAGTATATCAATTTGTTTATGTCAATACAATTAAATTAGGTATATTTAGTTGGGTAAAAAGAATGCTATTTTCCTTTTAAATGTAAAAGTTTGGGAATGTTATATTTTTTGGATTAGTGAAAGCATTAATCTAACTTGAACAGTTGTACTGATAAACATCAGTTGTTGTTGTTGTTGTTGTTGTTGTTGTTGTTGTTGTTGTTAAGCTTTGTACACAAGGGCCATATATTATTTCTGATTCTGAATACATCTCCTGACTGACCTGAATATGACACTCTGCAGGTCAAACGGGTATTCAATGATTCCCGTGGTTGGGACTCGAACCCTCAACACATCCTGCTGGGTGGGGAGGTAGGACGGCAGCGAAATCCGGTCCAACGCGTTCAGGTAACTATGGTCACAGAGTAAGGAAATTAATCATTTATTTATCATCACGGAAACCCTCCAGAATATATGTTTCTTGTACACATTTTTGTAACTTTTAATATACTGTATATATTTTTCAATATTAAATTGTATCTTTCAATTTTAAATTATCTTAATTTGTTTATGTATGCACCAACAAGGCACATTTCTTGCACGTGAAACCTAATTAGATATTGATCCTGATAACTGTAGTGGTTGCTGGGAAGTTTTGTATTTCAGATTTATCTTATTTCAAAAAGTCTGCTGTGAGATATTTTATTAGCCTCAGTTTGTTCGGACTATACTCACTATTTAGTGGAGTCTGAGAGTTGGTATTCCCTCCTTCGATCGTAGCACTCCTGGATGCCTGGGTCATTCCATAAGCTTTTGATTGCATCTATGTAGGGATTCTCGAACATGCTGATCTTTTCTACGTCCACCTCTTTCACAAGGTTGGCATGGCCCTGGAGGAAAAAGAACAAAGACAAAAACTGACATGACTTTCTGAGACACACATCTTTACTTAACAACACCAAACTAAAGGTCATTCTTTATTTACCAAAACTTAAATATTTTCTGATAGTCTAAAAACAGTGCCTATCAAAAACAATCAAGTTTTGTAGTCCTAATTATCCCTGGTATATTTTCTCACTCACTCACATATTCAATAACCTGGAATAACTCTACACCCCCAGGCTCAGCCTAGATCTCAAATCTGAGGCCCAAATCCCACCGGGGCAATTAAGTGAAACGTGTTTCCGCCCCAGATTCCCATTTAATTCTCCTGTGTCCCATGACGGTAGATCAACATGTGCATGAATCCTGAAATTCTTTCTATTTCGCATACTGCACTAATTCAAACAATAAACAAATATCAATATAAAAGATCATCATAAAGTGAACATTAAGATCTCATATAAAACAGGATATACAGATATTTCGTTCATGGGTGGGCTTGATAAGCCTACAATCATGACAGTAACAATAAGTGCACGGACACAGCCAGTGTAAACATGATCAACAGGTTTCATTTTCACTTCCTTAGTATTGTCAGTCTATTCCTTTGTCAGAGGTATAAAACTTCCCATTTTAGCCCCATGTTTATGAAGGCAGAGGGATGTTGGGTATAAAGTATTACAGGCATTGTCATATGTTTTTACTTTTTTTGAATACTGAACTGTACTAAACTTTTTTTATGTATTTGATTATTTGAGGGATGTGCTTGGTTTATATTGAGACAAATGTGTGAGACACTTTTGCTGAAACCGCACATTCAGTTTCATTCTTCATAAGCATGTCGGATGGGAAGCGAAAGCTCACATGGACAATGACCCCGCTACACCAGAGACGCAAAAAGTGACTACTCGAGTTGAATCCAAGATGCGGCGCCATTTAAAAGCCCCAGTGCTGAAGGTGTGAGCAAATCAACCCTAACACACCAAAATATTCCCATACAGTTATAATATCAGCAATTTCAAATATTAGTATATATTCAATATTGGTATCACCTTGAATAGTACATTTCTATCCCCCTTTTTCTGTGAATATCAATAAAGAATTTGACTGTGTCCTGTTCCCAACATCCTAGGATTATAATCTGACTTCAGGATATCACATTAAAATATACTCAATTATTTATCAGCCCCTCGTAATCAAATCCCTACAAAACCTTTCAACGAGCGATATGACTGGACTGTGGCCAGGCGGGGAGAAGCTGAAGTAGTGTGGTCAGCTGTCACCTCAAATGATCTGATTTATAAAATAAATAAATGAAGAAGGTTGCAGAGTTGATGACGACTATGCTCAACTTTTCCCTGTCACTCTCACAGGGACTAAACTGTGAGTACTGGTTACTGTAACCGCTCCCAAAACTATGATTAAAAAGGTGAAAAGTAGGAAATAAAAGGACCTGCAGACAGAATATTTAAGGAAAAGTGAGATCAATTTTGGGTGAGTAGTGTAAGGAAGGTTTCAAATGTGTATTTGCATATGTGTATTTGAGTGTATATCTGCCCTCATAGATTTGAGTGCACTGAAACGTACAACACAAATACACAAAGGGTGCAATGAAGGGCTGAAGCGCTGTAAGGACACAGGAAGTGTCAAAAGGGACAGGAAACGATAATGGATGGCTGTTCCAAATAAGATAGACTGCACTCTAAAAATATACAAGGGCATTGGGGCCACTTTGTAGCGTATTTTATCCCAAACGATTATTTACAGGAGTCACAACAATCGTTATTTCAGTTGAGGAATTTGAAATGGCCTGAGCGAGAGGATCTCATTTACCTTGTTGAGCTCGTATTTGTAGGGCACCTTGAGCGTCTCCGAGGCTCGGATCATGGACTGCATGGATGTGAATATGTTCTGATAGACCAGTTTAGTAAAACTCCTTTTGTCTTCATCAGAATACCCGGTGCCGTGGATAATCCTCATCTGTTTGATGAATGTGCTCTTCCCACTTTCCCCAGTGCCTGAGAGAAAAAGTAGAATTATTATAAGTGTTGGTCAATCTACTTTGAAAGCATTCGAAAAAGTATGACAGCAAAGTTAATCAAGGGAGAAAAATTGTGTGTTTAAATATAAGTACTTAGAAATATTAATTGAAACTCCATGTTATGCAAAATGAAACCAATCTTATCCAAAAAGATTGCCACCAAAGTGCAACCAAAATATTTGAACTGAACTCAATTGAGTTAATTTCAAAAAGTGAACACTTATTTTCAGGTCATAGATAAACCAAAAACTAAAATAAGCCTGGGCCAAAATGGTAGTTTGAGTATATGAAAACACAAAAATAAGTTATTAACTACTTGAACCACTATGCATATGAATGTAGTTGAACTAACAGCAAGCTACTGCAAAATGCATGAATGCAGTGTTTAAATGTAGTGCTAGCATAATCAAAATGTAGATTTGGCAAAATTGAGGTCATAAAATCTTCTAAAAACATTTAAAAAATACAATATGAATGTATGGAGTTTTTATTAAGGTAAACACAACATCCTATCTGGGAAAACACACACATGTATACATTACACACAGATGTACAGCCCATGCACACAGACATACAGTATATACTCAGTCACCCATGCACTCAGACACACATAATATTATGTGCTGGTTCCTTTCCTCTCAGCCTGTTGGCCTGGTCTGCTGAGAGACCAAGAACAACATCTCCCTGCTCAGTGGTGACAGGGACTGTTTGGGTGTGAAAAACTGAGGTGTGATTTCTCTTTGGTTCATTGAGAATCTTGGCAGAGCAGCTGAAAGGTCCAACTTCTATCTCACCACTCACCTTTGAGTGTGTGTTTCGACATGTCAATGCCCAAAAGATGTGTGCTGCATTCCAGCGTTACCTTAACTCCCTATTGTAAGGCCTTGAATTGTATAACATAAAAGTATTTTTTTGCCAAATAAGTCTCTCAAGCACTTATCCAAACCACACTCAAGACTAAACTTTTGATAAAATACAATAACCTACAGAAGAACAGTGTTCTTTTTGTCTCTTTTATAGGGGCCTGACATTAGTGTTTATATGCTGAGGCCGGGCCAAGTGCTAAACCCCTAAAATCTTAATTACAAACGCATGTAGCTGAATATTTATTCTCATACAACTTGTTTGTGTGTAGTTGGTTGCATAGGGCTTTTAAATATCAAAGTATAGCCTGTGCAAAGTTCATACATGCTCTCACTTTTTGATGTTGAATTGGGTTTTCAATTGCTACATGTTAATGCTGTTGCGTTATCATTTGGTGCACTTTTAAAATTGTAGCACCAAAGCCTGGCTGAACCCGTCACCGCCTGCTTTCCACCCCCGCTATGTCCAACTATAACTAACTATTACATTAACCTCCTGACAAGTAGTAGTTGTTGCCCCACCATAAATGGTGTGAATCACAACAGTTAATGAGTCAGCCATAAAAAATAACCACATTCTATTTTTTAAACAGGCAAAGCAGAACAGTGCAGCATTTAGAATAAGAAACATAATTTAAAAGCCTTAGAATATTGAGGACAACAATTTCTCTAAAACATTTCCACCTCTGGGTTTTAATGGCTATTCTCTATTACACCAATGAGAGACACTAAGAAGCCTGAGAGACAGCAAGTATGCAGGGTTTGAGTGTGTGCTGGCCATTAGAGGCTGCTGAGTCACCTTTCAAACAAATGCAGTGACCAAGCATTAACCCCGTGTTTGAGTTTCGTATAAAGGCTTAGCATCTGACGGAGGATGTCTGATACCACGACTCATGAACATGTTCAGATTCCGAGAAAGGAGACATGCTGTACAAGTATAAAAAAAAGCCGTGTCTGTGTGCGGTGCATTTATGTTATTCTGAACATTTGAAACTTGAATGTGAGCCGCCATATTTTCACAACCTTGACTGTCACAAATTAGAACTGGTAAACAAACATATTAATTTGCTTTCTCCATTAGAGCTGCTGTTCATTAGCAGCCTGACGCTGTAGTTTCCACAGCACCTTGAATGTATCAGTGGACTGTGGACCCTGCTTCTAATAGCATTTTACAAGGGTCACACACTGCTTGGTTCTTATTATGAACTAATAAGCTTATTGTATGGTAACATTTGAGTCATGGCATTACATTTGTAGATATAGGTGTGAGCCATTTTGTCCTTTTCCCTCTCAGTTAGATAAACATAATTTGGGGTTTTTGGAACATTCATTAAGTGAAATGTAACAACTCTGCTTTGTAATTCTGGTGCTTAATTTCATAAAGAAACTCACTCCTGTGGTTGTCAAATAAATGCAGTGTTAATGGCAGGCAGCCTTAAGCCAGTACCAGCAAAATAAAAGGCAGACATGAATTGAATTAGAAATACTGTAGAGTGTACCACTACCATGAGCCTTACTAGAAACATTTTGTTGTTGCCTTCTCATGATAATGTGAGCTCTTTCAGTGAAGGACAATTTCATGTAAATCAACACAGTAATACGATTCAAATTAATTGAATAATGAATACAATCTGAGAGAATGCAGGTACTATGCAAGTATCTAACTCCACTGCAATTACATATTTTTCGCTATAGTGAAACTTAATCGTAATATATCATAAAATTGGCTTTCTTTAATTGCAATTTGTATCGTTCCACTGTTAACTTGGCTGTATTCATTCAGGAATCATATGACATCTTTAGTGCTTCCTATCGTAATTACAACCATGTGTTTGTTAAAGGCTTGTTAAAAGTTGCGGTGGACTTTGTTCAATCCAAGCCTTGATAAAGTTCCCACAGCTTTTATTGGGCCGATAAGTGCAGCTGATATTGATTGGGTAGATCTGCACTTCCGCACATGTTTTTGACCGATGATTTGCAAAATGTGAGAGTTAAAAGTGCAGATTAAACATGTTGTGATGCTGCAATGATTTTTTAAATGATATCCAGCTGTGAAAGTTGAACACAGTTACATTTTCTGTGAATAAAGAGGTAGCCTAATTAAAAAAACTCAGCTGTTCATAACTGTTCTGATGATTAAAATCTGATTTACTTCAAACCCTGCCGTCCTACTTGTCTTTGATTTTCTCTGTGTAAGTGTGTTAAGGGGGACATAAACTAGATCCAATGGTCTCCTGAGGATTGGAGCTGGGCTGTGCCACTTTTGTAATTGAGCATGGTAAATCAATTAAGCAGATGGAGAAAAGCCTAAAAACGTCTCATGTTTAACCCTTTTGACTTTCAACAGATGTTTCAGTCCTCAATGCTCAATAAATAGAAGTCACATGTGTGCAATACATGTTGGAATGCAGCGTGAAACAATATCTCAATCCACTTAGACAGATAAAACTCCAATAATTACACTGCCATCCTAGGAAACTCTACACCCTGCATGTTCTCTTTCAGTAGTTTCCGTTCAGTGTGTTGTGTATGTTCAGTAAACATGCTGAAGTGAGGCAAAGCCTTTCTAATGACAAATATTGTATTCATGAAACACACAGCCCTTACACAGACATGGACGTCGAGAGATCAAGGGTATTGGTCAGTTGATCATTGGACTTTTTTCTAGATGACCGAGCATCCTTTAAATTGTGTTGCACTATAAGCTCACTGAAAGGAGTTCCAATTACTATAGTTGTAACAGCTATTAACTCAATATCCATCAACAAACATGCCAGAATATTCACTGATTCGATTGGTAGCCATCCACAGAAATGCCTTTTATACAAAACCAACTAAATAAAGATAGCAGCCTGGAAAACAGTATATCCCTCTAGTCTAAAGCATATGGAGGATAGTTAGCATCCAAATGCTTGCAGTGAGCAGCTATGTGCAAAAAGATAAAAAACATGGCCCTATGACTTTAAAGTCTCCAGACACTATGTCACCATTCTCATGCTGCTGCTTTACTCTCTTCCCCATTCATCTTGAACTTCCCATTACTGCAAAGGTTTGGAATCTCAGCTACTGCAATGGAGCCTTTCTACCTTCTTCACCGTCAGTTTACATCTCTTCAGACCTAATGTCATTTAAAAGAGTAACTTTACTAAAAGTGTCAAGACAATACAACAGTCTAAGTCTAGTGGTATTTATCATTTTCACCATAACAAACAAGGTCAAGCTGAATGTCCTTATCGCCGGTACATTTTCGATGGTTTGTAAAGTAAAGGAGAAGTGCTCTTCTTTATCTCAACAACTAGTCAAGTGCCCTCTAAGCATTGTCCGCTCCGCCTCCAGTGTAGCCTCAATTGGAAAATAAGTGAGTTCACTTGTGCAGACTTTTGTCCTAAAGAAAATTCTAAATGTGGGAGGATCTGTCCCAACAGCAGTCTCATTTCTCTGACACAAATGTATTAAAGATCTTATCTGGCTCTTGATGTTATATGCAGCACTTTAATCTGACAAATTGAAACTTTGTTTGGAGGTGTGCCCATATTTCGGTTACTGCTCTGGCTGCTGTTCAGGAACAGTTTTGCTGGAAGTGCGTTTGGTTTACTCAAATGTTCTGTGGCAGTGGTTCAATAACTTTTGTTGTCATGCATGCTTTTGAAAGCTTTTTTTTTTATTCAGCATTTACTGGATAATTCTGGATAACCTTATTCTTGCTGGCCTTAAGTCAAGATGTCCGCTGTGAAAAAGGTCGGTTCAACTCATTCCAGACAACGATTTTGGTTTTGTTCGGCAGTTTTGGTACCACTGAGTTACGTTATTTTTCTCACTTTTTAAGTGTGCATTGTGTGGAAAAGTTGTTAGCCTTGTTGATTTACATGAAGCCTTGAGCATTAACAGGTGGAAAAAACACTTTTGTTTTATTTCTTTGTAAAAAAGATTATGAGTGGTTTCATTTTCAATTAATGTGTAATGTAATGTTCATATATTCCTGGTAGGGATCATTTTCAGTTGGCTCTTATCGAGATGCCCTGCCTCATTCTTCTTTAGTGGACAATTAATGTTAGCTGGACTTTTCCTAAATCACCTTTGTTAGTGAATGTATTATCTCTGACTCATGAACAGGTGTTTCTCTTGGCACTTTGAATTGCCTTGTGTTGAAAAGTGCTATATAAATAAACTTGCCTTGCCTTGCCTTGCCTTGCCTTGCCTTGCCTTGCCTTGGAAAGCTCTACACTATTAAACACTCTCTCCTCTTGCTTCAGCAACTCTTCCACTCAGTCACTAGTTTTGACAACTTAACTGAGTGACAAGTGACAGTTTCAATACAACTCCATTACTATTATACAATGCCTCAATATATATTGGTGCACAGGGAGGCTGGATAACAGGCTTGTAATGTTTAAAAAGTTAAGAAATTGAAAACTTCTGAAAGTGACGGCAGAGATTTGTGCTGGATCCCAGGAGGCTTTAAGCAATTAGTGAGTTTGAAAACCCACAATACAGCATATGGGTTAATGGAGCCATAAAGAGCAAGCATAATTTCTTCTGATTAACTACTGGGAGGGGGTGGTGTCGTGGATATTTTAAAGATGTACAATGAGAGTAATCAATAATAAACTGGTGAAAGCAAGCAGTGTTGTCTTGTTGGTTATTTATTTGAAGCTTCAAAAAGGTACAGGTCTCACAGAGTGTAGGATAGTTTGCAGAAGTGTGCGCAATAGTCACAGAATAGCAAAGCTTACAAGATAGGGCGGGCAGACAAAGTTTTGTGTAGCATGGCGGAACGCCTCAGAAATCTGCTTTCACACGGATGTCTAATTTCGCTATTAGACACAGGTGTCCTTGAGCTATAGAAAGTATAACGGTTATCAGAATATGGAAGTTCAAACTTAGTGTGAAGAGGAGTAGTTTCAACAGTCTGCCAAATCAGCTCTGTGGCCTTGAAGCGCTTGAGAATAATAACCCTCATTAGAGTATGCAGAGAAAACAGCACATATGAAGAAATGGTACAGTAGTGTTAGACAATGCTTTTATAAGCATTTGGTTTTAGCATATAAGGTAACATAAGAAATTGCCACTACAGTGGTCATAATTGTTTTAAGAGCTCAGACACGAGCGTTGGTGTGACATCACGCATACGGTTCATCATTACTGGAAACCATTTACTCTGCTCAATATTCAAAATGTATTGGAATAAGCTGAAATATAAGCAACTTTAACATCCAAAAAATATATAAAAAATACATACTGATTAAGAATCCTTATTAATTTGGTCTGAGCCATCAAATGTTTTGTATCAGGAGAATAATGATTTGTCATTGAATAAAAAACATATGTCTTATGAGAACTATAGTTTCATCCTCAAACTTTCATACTCTTTGGTTGAGGTCATTGGCTGTTTGCGTAATAGACTAATTACTGGGAATTTAAAGAGATTAGGTGAAAACAACAACTCAATTATTTGTCAGCAGCTCCTTCAAACCCTGTTAAGAGGGATTCATTTTATCGTTGCATACATACTAACAGGAGGGCAAACCTATGCTAAAACATGCCTAACGAGGCAAAAGCCTTGCACGTCTTCTTCAGAAAGTAGCCTGGGTAATGTGAGGTTAAATGCTAGCCTGTTCCACTTCTCCTCAATGCATTTTCAGAGGGAATAGGAGGAACAGGAAGAGAGGTTTCTCGCACCGCTCTCAACAACCACAGTCATCACAACTAATGGGCTTTTCGTTGCAAATCTAATTTAAAACTGGATGGTGAGTAGATGACTTGTTTTCCTCAACTGTCTCCAATATGACTAATACTTCTCGGCATTATTAACAGCCGCCCCATATCACAAGTCTACACTGTAGAAATGCATGGTTACCATAAGATAAGACGTTTATGGCACACCAAGACGTTTCAAACTTGTGTGTCTCTGCTACAGTTGCATGATTTTGAATGGTGATTCAATTAATTTGAGATTCATTCAAATGCATCATGTATAAGAAGGTGGGTGCATGAGCATACCATCACACAAGCCTCTTGTTATATTTATAAGATGTCGACCTTGCTCCGTACACTTGCACCTGTGATAAAATCACTGCCAGGGTTAGGTGTTAAGCTGCAACACTGCCTTGATTACTCCCAATAAAACGCTAGACTTTGGCCCTGCCATGTTTGACACACTTGCATGCACACCACCTGGAGGGGCCCTGGAGGCCTGGCTGCACAGGTGGCTGTCAGGCCAGTGAATGCATTGAGAGGTAAGAGTGTGAGGCCCATGGTATGGAGTCAGATTTGGGTCAATATTCGCGCTAGAATATTGACCCAAATCTGACTCCATACATGGTAGACACATTTGTTTCCTAGCCGGTCACAGTTATTCAAATCAGCTGGTTTTATGCTGAGAACCCTACAGGCCTGGCTGGGCAGCATCTCCTCCCTCTGCTGAACTGCCAATCTGTGCACTCGACTCACAACACCGAGGTATTTCAACACCCAACTTCACTCAGGTGGGAAGACCCATTATTAGACCCCCACGGCCCACCCCCCTACCAGACAGAGGTATTTTGGTGAGAGGAATTTGGGCTTTGCATCTCTCTCCCCACTCCCCTCCCTCCCCTTGTTTATCCCCTCCGAGCTTACCGAGAAGCAACAGTTTCAGCTCCCGGCGTGCGTCCCTCTTGTCCCGGCGGAGCTGCCTCTCGATCTCGTCGTTGATCCGCCTGGCTTCCTTCCCCTCCTCGCTGAGGCAACACGCCATTATGGATTCCAGTGTCATTCTCTCTCCTTTTTTCAAACACGCACTTTTCCCTCTTACTGATTCATTCAGATTTCAAATGCGTCGGTGTAAAAAATTTAAAAAGCAGAGGCCTGTGATCCCCAAATAACGTCCTTATACAGGCCTGCGTGTGGTGAATAACGCGTGGACGCCCTTATAATGAGCCCGAAAAGCGCACAGATTGTGGTTGAAAGGAAATTGTTATAGTTTAGAAATTATTGACACCCCGTTTCGGTTCGCTTTCTGGGCTTCCCGTGAGCTTCAAAATAGTGTCCAAAGCAGGTTGGGTTGAATATCTGTTCAATCTTAATTGGTGTAATCGGCTTTTCCTTCTCAATATGATCAACAGATCATTTTAAGACACATCCTCAATACTGCTCGGTGTGATCTCGTTAAGCATTGCCATCCGTGCCCTGCCACCTCTCTTCAAAGTCTTATTTTTCAATCAACAAAACCAATGTGTTCAAGTAATCGTCCGTGGGTGAAAGCAACGGGGAAAACACATGAATAAAGCTGTCCGTTTAATTTTCCAACGGCTCGACTCCCGGGCGTGGTAAAGCAGAATATGGCGGACTTTCACTCCAATCCGCTAGGCTGGGATACAGTACAGTTATCTCTCGCTGTCTGCTCAAAAAAACCATGAAAGCCACACATAACATGGCATTTCAGCCGGAACTGTCGATGCCGCGAGCAGCATATATCCCGTCTGTTTTAAGAGGCGTTCACGTCCATGGCTCATCAGAATGGTGAAGAAAGCGAAAACCGCCGTGTTGTTGCCTTTCCCCCGGCCAATCTTCCCCTTTTCCTCAATTCTCTTCATGTGTTTTTATTACAGAGGCCATCCACTCCTCCGCTGGCAGGGTGACGTCGGCCTCTCGACAAGGGGGGAGTGTCACGTCAAACAAACGCCACACAAGTATTTATACACCCCAATCTGTGGAAGAGAACATGTGTATGAGTGGAGAAGCTGAACCCTTTTCTCTATGGGCGTGGGTGTAATAGTGGACACAACTCAGTTGTTGTGCTGACTTAGTGGAGTCGTCACAGTCCCCATATAGACTGTAGATGTTCTTAAATATGACGATTAATTTGTACAACAAATTCAACTGTTTCCCATTGCGAGGTTAACACTTAGTGGAGTTAAAATAGCATCGTGGTGACAATTACAAATACACCTGTATGCAAGCCTGTAAATATTCCTTCATCTATTTGTGTGTTATTATTGTTTTGGATTGACTTTATGAAGATAGCCTCAAAATAAAAAGTATTTATCTCAATAAAATCAGTTTATGGTTACATTTAGTAAATTGGCTTTTTATTGCAGAGCAGTTGCTTTAATGCTCATTACATCCTTTCCAACCTTTATATCTTACAATTTCATGAACATAAAGACAGACGGAAAAGAAACGCTTGAACATTGTGCAGGAGAGATACCTAATGTACCTTATAAATACATATGTAAGTAGGCCTATAGTCATAAAACAATCAAATAAGATAATGATATCCTCTGTGCATTATGCCTTTAACCAACTGGATAGTAACACTGTTACAGTTGTTAGTCACATTATTCTAACAAAAGGCCCACACATAATTGATGAAATTATAAGTGGATGAATGGATAGATGGATGTTGGAGGCCATATCACATATCCACAGTTGTTCCATTATGATCATCTCCTCTGTTGCCAGCCTGAGCCATTGGTGTTATCAGTAAATCAGTGTCCTTTTTACTTCTGCCTTTTCCACAACTCAATAATTGGATATCATTATCCACTCATTGTCAGTCAATCATATTATAACACAACACTATTGTGTGAGTTGTTTAGTTTGTGGGCTTTAAGTGGCTCCTGGGCTTTCAGGGGACTTCTCAGTGCCAAACTAATCAAAACAGTAATAAGTCTGGGTCCCAAGTAACATACTTAATTTGTACTTTGGATCCCGGTCATATTAATGTCCAGAACCACGACTAGTGTTGACCTTCTTTTCAGGCCAGTTTTGGTTTAAAAGCTTTTTATTTTTTAGGCCTGCCTGAAAACGTGCCAGCTTTGTTTTGCCAGCTTTGTTTTGTGACAGATCTGTCACATGCTGTGTTCCTTCTGTAATGCTGCATCAAATTCAAATCATTTAAGCACTGCTTTGCTAAGTCTAAAATACAGATGGCCATGCAGGGCAAAGTTCAAGATTGTTCGGAACTGCACCACAACGATAAACATTACTACTGCATACTCTCAGTGCTTTCATTAGTGTGTGACATACATCTTTGCAAGTCAGAGCAGAATCAGAATACCTTTATTTGTCCCACAGAGGAAATGTACGATGTCATATACGATAAGTCAGGCCCTGACTTATCGTATGACATCGTACATTTCCTCTGTCAGGGTGACAGTAGGCTATGGGTAAGGTAAGGTAAATCATCATCAAGCCAGAGACCCTTAATAGTGAATTGCAAGCGATTGTCTTCAATAGCTTTTATTAGATAGATAGATCTGAGCCACAATGAAGTACATGAAAATGTTACATGAAGAAAACTATTTGTGCGCAATTAATGTTAGCTGTCCTGGGACCTGCCTAATTTGTCCCATATTTCTAGTTTGGGGAGTCATTCGACCTGCCGGTAATGAAAGTCAACCAACAAGCTCTGTAGAGGGGAAACCAGCCACAGGTCAGTAACATTTAATCTGTCGTGTAGCCTACTGTCATAATCGTGGTAAAAGTAAATATTCCAGTTAAACTAATGTATTATGTTAGCTGAAAATGGTATCATCCCAGTTTATTTGTCATCAACCATAAAACCCTGCACATTTTAAATGTCACATTTTGTTGGTTGAGCCTCATGTGTCCCTCCCTAGTTGTTGCAACTGATGATTGCATGAACTTTGAAATGGGTCATACTGTTTTTGAAAACAAATTGTATTTTGTACTCACTGGTTCTCATTTGTGAATGTGTTTAATTTATATTATTGGAGACAATGCTATGTGAAAGTACCAACGGATGTACAAAGAGTAATTATAAATAGTGTGGTGTGCACATGAGTTATTTCACCTGGGAAACATGGCCAGCAAAAATGTGCACATGTATTGCAAGGTAAATCAGACTTTTATTTTGTAAGGGACCGCTTTCGGTGACTTCCTGCCCCGTGTCACGTGATCAAGCCCTCGCCTAGATACGAGCAAAGCGTCGCTGCTCTACGGTCGCTACGGAGAGAGGGATGGGTCTGTTGTAGTTAAAAGACTGTACTTTCCCACGGTGTTAGGTCAATTTACTGTCATGGCAGTCTATGGTACATGCTTCTGGGTTGTTGCGACAACCACTTTAAATCGTGCTAACGTTTGCATAGACACTTTCGGTTGCTGCTAGTACTTTAATCTGTCTTGGCATGACTGATAAAGATTAGTTAGCATGCTAGCGAGATAGCCACACAGCCTCAGCAACACACAGCGACCACACCTGCCAGGTAAGAAATCTTAAGTAACTCATCTGCAGGATTTTGGGACGTTACAATGACGAGCCATTAACAATTTCACCATAAGTAATTACGGTTAAAATCGTAGTTGTGACGTAATGTTTGCCAGCACAGTTTACAGCAGGTGTTTTCGAGCGACTAATTCCTTGTGACAGTAATGATGCGGCTCTAATAGGATTTGAGCCCTCTCCTTCCTGTCGATTGTTTGAGCAGTACGCCAGGATAACGAAGAAGGAGCTTAGTTTAGCTGTGCGTGTCTTTCTGTGAAAGAAAGTAGTGTTTGGTTCGTCTCACTTTTATGCAATACAATTCTCAGAAAGAGGCTGTTTATTTCTACATTTGGGTGTGTGATTTATGTGCTTGAGTCTTAAGTCGTTTTACATAATTGATTGGCCTACAGTGCATGTGAAGCAAGCAATACCCTTGTCTAAGCATTGAAGTTTCGAACTTAAATACTATATGATTTTAGCCATAGCAATGGTACACTTGAAGTTTGATCTTGATGTGTCTGTGTGGTTTGATCCATTGCCCCAAATCATCACCACTTTCTTTAGTCCAGCTAAGGTTAAATCATGATGTTTGTTCTACTTTGATAGTATTTATTTCTGTGGATCAGTGTGGCTGTAGGTTCCTAGCAGACATGGGCAAACTACAGAGCAAGTTTCGCAAGAGGTCGGAGATCTACAGGTGAGACGTGTGAACTATTATAAAAAGGTTCTGTGTAATTGTACTGTATACTACATACTAATTAGAACCAGAGTTTCTGTACATACCTACATACATTCTTTGGAAATATGTTGCTGTCTGTAAAGTTTACTCATCTTTTTGGTAGTGGGTATGATTACCAAGAAGCTACGTTTTATAATGTGCTATATCAAGAGGATACTAGTGCACACAGTGTATTACATTATACGTATGTGTTTACGTGGGACATGTCATTAACAAATGTGGTCATTGCAATCATCTCAATAATTCTTCTTAAGCAGATGGGTTTTAGCAGTGCAGGTTGTAAAGGAACCTAATGATTATAATAGAGATAGAGATGCCACAAGCTAAGAATTGTGGCTGAATATATATATATATATATATATATATATATATATATATATATATATATATATATATATATATAATTATAAAACATTTGTGATTCCCTTATTCTATTGGTGTTTTATGTGCAGGACAACTCAGGTGGAGAAGTCAGAAACTACCTTTGACAGCAAGGTGGTGCAGTACGAACCTGCCCATAAAGGGTCCACCAACACCGTCACCAATCTGAGCCCAGAGCTCTGTGTTTCCGGTGGAAGTGACCAGGTACATTATTCTATGTACTAGATAATACAAACAATGTACCCAAATAATACAAAGTTGGTGATGTCTTTATTCAGACTTCAGGGTAATAAATAAACCAGTGTACCAGTTTAAAGATAATTATAATGACTGATTCCTAAAACAACTGGAAATGCACCGTTCACATTTTTATTAAGATGGTAATCAGTGTCATGGATCACAAGGTTGTCAGTGTTATCCCGTCCTACTCCATGTTGAAGCACAAATTGCTCCTGATGGTCAGGCCAGTCTGCTAGCTTTTGTATTTGGTGTGGCTCAAAGGGGTATATGACGTTGTGAAACTTGTGACGTACTTTGGATAGAAACTCTCTTAAATGTAGCCATTTAACATGATGTGGAAAATCATGTGATTCTTGTGTGCCAATATGTCTGTGTGTGTCTGCTCCTGTAGGCTGTGGTGGTGTATGACTGGAAGCAAGGCCGGATGTGTCAGACCTTTCAGGGTCACAACCGAGAGGTTACCAAGGTAACGTCAATACTATGTGTGCACAAGCTGATAAAGGTGTGACGCTGTTCAGAACTGTGACACATCTTGACTCTGCCTCCCTCTATCTGCCAGGTGGTGTGTTATCCAGGCAGCACATGGATCTTTAGTGCCTCACGGGACAAGACTGTCCTGATGTGGGACCTAAACCAGGGGGACGAACCTATCCAGGAATTTTGTGGGCATGAGTTGGTGGTCAATGGACTAGCTATCAGTCCTGGTACGAACACACACACACACACACACACACATGCTTTTGTCTGTCCCTTGGTCTGCCTTTTACTCGTAAATGCGATATCTGAGTAAAGTTTCAAAGACATTTCTTCAAATGTGGTCTTAAGGAGTAACTGATGGTCAAAGTGTAAGTGCCTGTGAGCTCATAAAACACTTTGACCATAACTCAAAAGAGCATATGCTTATTATGTAACTTTTACAGAAATGTATAATTGAATAAAATGATGGAAGTGATGACATTTTGGTCAGATGTTGATGTAGATTGCAACTTTGTAACTCTAGTCTTCCTTTTCTGATCTGCACTGATCAAATTGAATTGTGTTTTTTATTGGTTTGTAGAAGGGAGAAAGCTGTGTACTGGTTCCCGTGACAACTGGATGTGCCTGTGGGATATAGAATCTGCAAAATGTGAACAGAGACAGAAC